TTGCTGGCTTTCCTTTATTCACCACCTGCACAGATCATCCCAAAGTTACAGCCCCATTTTCCCTCAAGGTATTTGCTAGGGCACTTACCCAAAGCATTTGTGACTGCTGATATAATCAAGGGTTTTAGTGAGGCAGGCATCTCTCTCAAAAGCTGCATTTTGATACTTCTTGTTACTGCTACCCTGTGTGGCCTTCCACCCTTAAGGGGAAGGGAGCAGCCAAAATTCCTAAATGTTCATGGTTGAAAGGAACAACAAAAGTCAGAGGGACTGCAAAAACTCACAAACTTTTCTTAGCAAATTACACACTTGTCATGGAAATTGGTGTGTCAGTCCCTGACCTACTATACAGGCACCTGGCAGTGGGGCGTGGGTAAAGGGGCAACAGGAAAAGGAAGAGAGAAAGAGATGAATTAAAGAGGAAGAATGAGAAGAAGAAAGAAACAAAAGAGAGAGGGAAAGAAAGACAGAAAGAAAGAGAAGAAAGAAAGTAATCCCCAGTCCTGATTCCAGTATCGATCTAGCTGATGGGATGTCCAGGGTCCTGGGGGCACCTCCTGGGCTTGAGGGGTACTTTTTTCCAGACAGGATTTCTCTGGCCTGGTGATCAGTTTCTCGCTCTTTATGGAAATTAGTTCTCATCCTCAGTCCATTCTTTCAGACCTTTCTGGAAATGGGTCAGAGGCTTTGGGGGTCTTGGGTGGTCTTGATTCCCCCCTACAGTCCACACCCACTTCTCGGTCTCCTTCCTGCACTTGCACTGTGCTGGGTTGTGCTGATCTCCAGGAACTACAACAGGGATGTTTGTCCCAGAAAAGTGCTGCCCTACCTCCACATGGCCCCTTCTCCAGCCACATCTTGTTCTTTCTTATTTGGTTTAAGTTGGGTGTTCTTTAAGAGTAGTGGGAGAAATCATCTTATGGTAAAATGCAGCATCGTTCTGCATACTGACTTGCCTGCCATAAATGGCCTGGGAATCTATTTAGGAACTGAAAGCAAGTGTTAGTGTTCGTGGACAAATGCTCTGTTTCCATAAACAAATTGTTTAAGTTGTGTTATCTTGTCCCTAGATGATGTACTATGTTTTTTCTTGTTCTAACTGTACTTCATAAAAAGGGCATATTTTATCTATGATGCACAAGTTTTCTTCTTGAGCACACATTCACTTAATACCATATCTGTGATGCTTTTCCTGTAATCCTCAGCATTTTCCTTGTCTGGTGACTGATATGGTTTCATGAATTGGCAATAAAAGGGAAAACTAGCAATTTTAATTTTTTTAAACTTAGTTAGGGGTTTCCTTGAGAGCTCATGTAATGTAGCATATGGCTTCTTGAAAGTGGGTCTTCAATTTTAACAGTGGTGGCAGCCTGCTGTCAAGGTAGCTGGCAGTTGAATTCGCTCTCCTACTTAAAGAAACACAGAATATGCTGAGTTGGAAGGGACCCACAAGGATCATCCAGTCCAACTCCTAGGCCTGTGCACAGGACCATCCCCAAAAGTCACACCTTGTGCCTGAGAATATTGTCAAAACTCTTCCTGAGCTCTGTCAGGCTTGGTGCTGTGACCATTTCCCTAGGGAACCTGTTCAGTGCCCAACCATCCTCTGGGTGAAGAACCTCTTTCTAATATCCAACCTAAACCTCCCTGACACAAGTTCATGCCATTCCCTTGGGCCCTGTCACTGGTCACCACAGGGAAGAGATCAGTGTCTGCCCCTCCTCTTCCCCTCACAAGGAAGTTGTAGACTGCAATGAGGTCTCCCCTCAGTCTCCTTTTCTCCAGGTTGAACAGACCAAATGACCTCAACCACTCCTCATATGGCTTCCCCTCAAGGCCCTTCACCATCTTTGTTGCCCTCCTTTGGACACTCTCTAATGGCTTCATATCTTTCTTGTGTTGCAGAGACCAAAACTGCATACAATATTCAAGGTGAGGCCGCCCCAGTGCAGAGTAGAGTGAGACAATCACCTCCCTTGCCTGACTGGCGATGCTTTGCCTGATGCCCCCCAGGACACGGTTGGCCCTCCTGGCTGCCAGGGCACTGCTGATTCATTCAACTTGCCGTTGACCAAGAGCTCCAAGTCCCTTTCTGTGACACTGCTTTCCAGCATCTCATTCCCCAGTCTGTCCCTACATCCAGGGTTGCCCCATCCCAGGGGCAGAATCCAGCACTTGCCCTTGTTGAACTTCCTATGGTTGGTGATTGCCCAGTCCTCTAATTTGTCACGGTCTCTCTGCAGGGCCTCCCTGCCTTCGAGGGAGTCAACAGCTCCTCTGAGTTTTGTGTCATCTGCAAACTTGCTTAGTATCCCTTCCAGTCCTGTGTCCAAGTCATTTATGAAGATGTTGAAGAGCACAGGGCCTAAATGGAGCCCTGTGGAACCCCACCAGTGACAGGTCACCAGTCTGATGTCACCCCATTCACTATTACCCTCTGTGCTTGACCTGTGAGCCAATTGCTCACCCATCGTATGATGTGCTTATCCAGCTGTGAGCTGGACAGTTTGTCCAGAAGGATCCTGGGAGAGACAGTATCGAAAACTTTACTGAAATCCAAAAAGATTACATCAACTGGCTTCCCTTGATCAATCAGGTAGGTTACCTTGTCATAAAAGGAAATCAGGTTTGATGAGCAGGACTTTGCTCTTGTGAAGCTGTGCTGGCTGTGATCAGTGACTGCATTGTCCTTCAGGTGTTTTCAGTACCACCCAAATTATCTTCTCCATAACTTTACCAGGCACTGAAGTGAGACTGACAGGCCTGTACTTTCCAGGGTCCTCCTTGCCCTTCTTGAAAATTGGGACGTTCGCCAGCTTCCAGTCAAGTAGTATCTCTCTGGATTCCCAAGACTGCTCAAAAATCATTGAGAGAGGTTTTGCGATGACATCACCAGTTCTTTGAGGATTCTGGGGATGAATCCCATCAGGCCCCAGAGATTTGTAAGGGATCCAGCTGGAGCAGCAGATCCTGCACAATTTCAGGGTCAACAGGGAGTAGATCATTCTTGCAGTCATGGTCCTGCAGCTCAGGGCAATGAGACCCTCTTGGCCCAGCATCGGTGTTGAAGACAGAGGCAGAGTGTTAAACACCTCTGCCTTGTCTCTGTCCCTGTTTGTGAGGTGACCACCTTCATCCTGTAATGGGCCAATGATATTTCTATACTGCCTATTGCCATGGGTATATTTGAAAAAACTGTTTTTATTGTCCCCCACATTTCTGACATCTTCAACTCCAGCTGAGCTTTGGCTGTACGAATTTTCGCCCTACAGTGGCAAGCAACATCTCTGTATTCTCTCCATGTCACCTGACCTTGCTTCCACTGGGCATACAGCTTCCTTTTTTGCCTTATTTCCAAGAGAAGATCCCTGTTCAGCCAAGCCAGCCTTCTGCCTCACCTGCTTGACTTCCGACATTTGGGAATTGCCTGCTCCTGTGCTCTTAGGAGGTTTGAAAAGTGACCAGCACTGATGGACTCCAGCTTCTGCAAAAACATTTTCCAAGGGGACCTTACTCACTAGTTCCTTGAGCAGCCTGAAGTCTTCTCTTCTCATGTCCAGAGTTGAGGTTTTACTGACACTTTTCCTCCTGTCAACAGACATTTTAAACTCAATCTCTTTGTGGACACTGTGGCCAAGATGGCCACCAATCTCCACTTCACTCACGAGATCCACTCTGTTGACAAGCAGCAGATCAAGGAGGGCATCTTTCTGAGTCGGCTCTCTTAGGACCTGTTCCATAAAGTTGTCATTCAGATTTTTTAGGAATCTTCTGGTCTGGGTTGTACCAGCTGCGTGATGCTTCCAGGTAATTTCTGGCAAGTTGAAGTCCCCCATAAGGAGAAGGACAGTTGATTTGGTGGTCTCCCTTAGTTCCTCAAAGAATAATTCATCGGCATCATAATCCTGGCTGGGAGGTCTATAGTAGACTCCCACGGTGACATCTGCATTATTTGTTTGCCCCTTGATTCTTACCCAGAGGCTCCCAACTGTGCCATTGCCAACTGTGAGCTCCATACATCCTAACCCTTCTATTACATACCATGCCACCCCTCTGCCTCTTCTGCCCTACCTGTCCCTCCTGAAGAGCCTGTAACCATCCAACAGGGCACTCAAGTCACAGTTCTCATCCCACCAGGTTTTACTTATGCCAATTAAACCAAATCTCTGGGACTGGGCCAAAGCTTTGTGTGCCTCTTGTTTGTTCCTCACGCAGCGTGCATTACTGTAGAAACATCTCAGGTGTGGTCCATTGTAGCCAACACCTCATGGGGCAGATTGAGGGATCCCATGAGTGCTTGTTTCTTCAAGTTTCGGCCCACCATCCCGTCACCTATCACTGGCAAGCCTGATTTTGTCCCTTTCCCCCTTCCGAGCCAGTTTAAAGCTCTGTCAACGAGCTCCGCTGACTCCTGTGCTAGAACTCTTTTTTCCCTCTGAGATAAGTGCATCCCATCAGGTGTCTGTAGACCAGGTGTTCAGTAGATCATCCCATGGTCAAAAAACCCAAAATATTTTTGATTACACCAACCTCTGAGCCACTTATTGACCTGATGGATCTGCCTATTCTTATCAATATTATTCCATGTTGCCAAAAGGATCAAGGAAATCACTACCTGTGCTCCTGATCCCTCTACCAATTGTCCCACAGCCCTGAAGTCTTTTTTGCTTGCCCTTGGACTTCTCTTTATTATTTTGTCACTGCCAGTTTGACAACCAATAGCAGATAGTAATCAGAGGGCCTTAATAGGCTGGAGAGTCTTCCAGTGATGTCCCTTACCCAAACCTCTGGGAGACATAGTCATGCTGCAAGATTTCTGAGGATTAGGTTTAAAGTTTGTTCCTACATATCCAGTTCATCTTCTAATGATAAGAATTGTGGGAGAAATTAGAGTAGAACAAATGATGTACCATCTGGTTTTCTACCTCCCCAAAGATAATGGGGATAATGTGGAATTCTTACATCTTAACTGTGGTATTTCTTGGCCTTGTTTCTTGCAGTTGGTAAACATGAATTAACTGGGCATAAAGTTGCAGTGAAGATCCTAAATCGACAGAAGATTCGCAGCCTTGATGTTGTAGGAAAAATCCGCAGGGAGATCCAGAACCTCAAACTATTCAGACATCCTCATATAATTAAGCTGTAAGTTTTGCTTGCTATAATCAAATCTATTTAAACAGTAATCCCTTGCTCTCACTAATCTGAAACATGTTGAAAGGGCAATGTTATTAGCAGTATATTTTTAGGATAGCAACCAGTTTTCAACTATGTAATTATTTTTTATGTACTTTGTAATGCATTTTCACAAAACTGATTTTTCTGCAGGGCAGAGGTCTTCCATTAGATCTTGACTTAAAAATTCTTTGGGCAGGTATATAGAGGGTAGCAGCTTATAGTAACATCCATCTCAGTTTTTTTAGCTGCTGCTTCCATTTTCTTTTTTCTGGTTATGTTTGATCTTTCTTTCTGCTTAGAAACTGAGTTCAGAACAAGTTTGTAAAGGGTAGTTCTATAGTAAATTTATTGTATTTTCTTTACTCAAAATATTTTTTAGTGATGTGTTGGTCAGTGCCCTGTTTTTCCTATGTAGATGGTACTCTGCAAGGTTTTTCTGAAAGATGTGCAGTCTGTTAAATGCAATCTCATATTTCAGAGGTCTTCAGTATAGCTGTTACTGCTTAACTAAATAAATGTGATATTTACAGTGTGCCTATTTACATCTGTTTGATCAGTAGCTCATCAGCAGAGTTTGGAGTACAGTTAAATATGTCCCAGAGTAGACACCTTGTATCTGAGGAAATAAATTATAAATGCTATTGACTTTTTTACTTTTCCTATAAAGTCAACCTGCACATCTAGCAGGGCACATCTAGAATGTGGGTTACTTTCGCTGTTAATTGTGGTGTTGCAGTTTAGGTTTTCTTTATTGTCAGTCTTTTCTTAAGACCATGCTTTCACTGACATATGCCATCCCTATGCACTCATTCGGCAACAGCACTTATACTGGAGCTAAATTGGGTTGTGTCAGATCACACTGACTTCTTCAGTGGGTCAGTTTTCAGAAGACTATTGAGCTGATTTGTCTGGCTGCAGAGCTGCTAGTGCTGCCAGTTAGAATTCATGAATGAGTCCAAAGTACATACCTGAAGCTAAAACAAAATAGGAAGTGTCAGTGTACCGATTGAGATATTTGGAGTGGAACAGGAATGTGTACTTCTGGTGCTGCTGAACTTTTAAGTCAGCTTAACAGGTTTTAGGTTGCAATTTATTTCTCGGGGAATTATGGGGTGAATTTTCACTTCTGCATGTTGAGAGAAAGGACAAGATGAAGGAGATGATGGAAAAATTGATGGATCCCTAGCTTTTCAGTTGTTCAGCCTGCATTTTCAAAACAGAAGGGTTATTAGCCTGAATGTAAATAGCATTTGAGTTATAATTGATACTGTTGTGTAGGTAGACTTGCTGGTGACTTTGGATCATGCTGCTTGTGCTATTAGCTGGATTGGGGAACTGCTAGGTAGCAGCTCAAGATATTTGGCATAAAGGTAATCAGATTATTTCTGCTGAATATTACAAATAAGACAATGTCTAATTTGGAACATTGTACTTTATTAAAATTTTCATACAATGCTTTAGCAATATATACAGTTGCAAGTCTGCCTCAATAAGATTTTCTTTTTATACCATGCTTTTAATAAAAACCTTTGGAGCATCTCCTTTTGTGGTTTTTGACCTCTAGCAATCTAATGCATCTTGTTTTCCTATATAAATTGCCTCTTTGTACATTCTGGTCATCTGTGCTGTGTGGTTTGATAACCTTACTTATAGGTATGTAACTATTTCACAACCTCCTTTTCCATAACTAGAAAAATGAACTGACTATAGAGAAGCATGACTGAGTCTTTCAAGATGCTGAAAACATGAGGTGCAGAATGGCTCATTCTTTTCAGTGATGCTAAGAGGTTTATCTCCCAGCATTGTTCATTATCTCAATATCCAGAGGATGGAAAATCACTGTGAAGATCTAAAATATAAAATGTTGATTATGTTTACCTGAAGCTGTTTTCACAACTATGAGAAAGGTCATTAACAGTAAGGGTGTTAAAAATGAGGTTGCACTGTAATTTTTGGATTATTTCTGTAGTGTCTTAGTGACAACTTCACAATGTTCAAATACATGACATACTTTCAACCAAAGTATTTGAGAGAAAATTAGTAAAGGTAAAGCATCTTGGACTATAAGATATTAGGTAAAGTTAACTTTGAAAATAACCTGAATACTATTCTGAGGTAGTTATTGGAATGTTACACTACGATACTAAGCTGTTTAAATACATACACACACATATATATGTGCACACATACATTCACCTGAATAGACTGAACTCATTGCTGTCAAGAAAACCTTGTCTTTGTAAGCTGGAGTGTCTGTTTTTTCCCCCTTGTCTTAGAATCAACATTTTGAAGAACATTTCAGTTCTGTAGTGTATGTGTGAATTCAATTATTCTTTTACAATTGGGATATTTGTATGCTTGAGTGTAGTACCTTGGAACATTAATTTTCATCCAATTGCTACGTCCTGTCTTCTTAATATAGTATCTGAATTTTTGACTGAAGGTTTACCAGTGTGTAATTCTTATTATGTTAAAAATTGGTCACTTCTGACTGCTGTAAGGGGGGAAAAATTAAACAACCTTTAGGTAAGGATATGTAAAAAACATATCAATCTCTTAAGTGGGGAGTTTGAACATAACCTAGTTTTTTCAAAACCTCAAAGCTAACCTTAAAGTATAGTGATAAAAATATAATGACCAGGGTGTCAATACTCTTAAATACTAATGACAAACATAGATCTCTTTGTAAAAGATAATTGCTCATCTTCATGAATATTTTTTCAAGTCTTGAAGTACACTTTTTTTATTTATGACAAGGCAAGGGGTTTTTACCTGTTAAAGTTGAAGGGTGTGTGCTTTTGAGACACTAGCAAAGTCCTTTTCAATTCCTTCTTCACTGCACTAAAGTGTCTGTGAGGCAGTACTGTATATGGCTTCACAGAAATAATTTGGACTGAGAATAGTCCTCTGAAAGTACAAAGACCCATCTTCCTGGTGGGAAATAAAAATTCCCTGCTAGTCTTGGCAATGATAGCATCACATAGTAAAAGGAGAGGAAATAGCTTCTAAAAAATATTATCATTCCAGTAGCTGTAAATGAGCTGTTAATTTTTTTAAATTATACTTTTATCTGACTCTTTGCACAACTTTAGTTTTAACTAAATGTAACTAGCTGCTTTAACTGAGTGCACAGACTAACAGATACTTATTCTTATCAGGTACCAGGTCATCAGTACACCAACTGACATTTTCATGGTGATGGAATATGTTTCAGGAGGAGAACTGTTTGATTATATCTGTAAAAATGGAAGGGTAAGAAGTAGTCCAACTCTACAAATCAGTGACTTGCATTCTGTTATTGCTTTTGAAACCTTCCTGTTAAATGAAGGTTTTTTTCTTATGTATTCAGTGTTAATTTTGCTGTTAGCAATTAAAATATACTTTATGATTACATCTTGTTTTGAAACTAAAACCAATTATATGTTAACGTGTTTGAGATCTTTATGTATGACTTTGTAGCATTTTTCCACTCTACTGAAGAATAAATGATACTGATATGTTAATTTACAATTACTGTGTACAAACTGGATTTGTGACAGGTACAAACAAAATTATGTAAGCTATGAAGCTTTCTGCTACAAGTACTGATCATCTGCTGTATAAAGTATCAAAACTAGAAATGATAACTTTCAGTCATGGGAAAGTTTCCTTTAATTCATATAGAGGAAAACCAAGTTATCCCTCCACTGTCTCAAAATTGTTTAAAACCTTTGTTTGTCTTAGCTTGATGAGAAGGAAAGTAGACGTCTGTTCCAGCAAATCCTTTCTGGTGTGGATTACTGTCACAGGCATATGGTAGTACATAGAGATCTGAAGCCTGAAAATGTGCTGCTTGATGCACACATGAATGCCAAGATAGCTGACTTTGGTAAGCATTGCTATTTTATATCTGATCACATTTCTAGTTTTATTTAGATCCTGTTAATTACTATGGGAATTAATAAAGTGTGTATACTTGAATATCCTGGTGGTAGGACATAATACAAGAGAATCTCAATGTAAACCAAAATTATGTTCTTGCATATGTGTCGAATTTATTTTCCTTTAAAGCTTTCTCTTCAAGTTGGGTATTTTCTGTGACTGGGTGAAATTGTGAACTGTCTTGTTTGGTCTTACTTAATGTTTTCTCAAATAATTCTAAATAGTTCCCCACCTTGCTACTTCAGAATTGACTCTTATTGTCTGTTTCTTTATCTATAAAATGCAGATGCTTAGCTCTCTTGTAAGTACAGTGCAAGGAAAGTTCATCATATTTAAGAACCACATTGCTCTAGTAAAATACACTACTTCTTCTAAAAAACTGCTCTAAATTCACTTTGAAAACTCAAAAGATGTGATTGAAAAATGTAATTAAAACATAAAAGGTAAAATAAGAACAATTTTGCAAATTCCTGTGCTTTTAGCTATATAGCTGCCTAACTAATAAGAAAGCTTAATTGTTTATACTAGCTGTTTAACACAGCTGCTGCAAAGACTGGTAGCTGGTTCTTGGAACTGTCTGAATTGGGAAACCTGACCATATAAACATAGTAAGGTATTCATACTCTTGTAGGTATAGTAGAAAATACTTGCCCTTGTAAAGCACTTGGAGGTCTCTGAAAGATGTTAGGTAATGCTAAGTATTCTAAATATATCTTAAAAGTATGGTGTTCAAGTATATGGGTGCAAGTATGAAAACTAGCCAAGCTGTGTTCTTTCATATTCTTCCCCCCCCAGTAAAAGGGCATCATTTCTGTCTGAGTTCTCTGACCTATACTGATTTTGATTATGCAGCCCTCACAGAGAAAACTAGAAGATATTTTCCACAACTATTCTAGAAGTGGTAATTCTTTACCGATCATAGGATATGCTAAAGGCTGGTGGATGAGGATGGCCTAGTTCTAAAGTACACTTTAATCACTAACAGTATAGCTTGATTTTTAAACTGTAGTGTTTCAAAAACCTGTTGAAGCAGTGTCAGTGTCTAAATTGTGGTGAAGCTGTGTGTACTCCTCAGTTCCCTTATTCTATATAACCTCTTAAACAATTTTAGGCAATTCTGTGGTAGCATCTTCCACTTTGGCATTTAGAAGCGAATATGGTTTTTAAGACGCTTTCTTGTTAACAACCAAAATCCTATGTTGCTATGCTGCTCTCTCCCTTAGAGTAGCTTTGTTCTCTATCATGCTTGTGTAATCACGAATGGGTTGGCTTTTGTCTTGGAATTAATATGTTTTAGAACATTCCTAGGTTGTGTGCAATAACGGATTGATGTTACTCAAGTTTCTGGTAAACTAAATGCAGGATCATGTGGCATTCTCATATAAAAATCTCAATAATTCCAAACAATGCTGCCTTCTTACTGAGATAAATTTGAATTTGAATTACTAGTAATTTGTTCTAGGTGGTATATGCAGTGTGTAATCACTTTGCTCTCTGAATCTTTAGTAGTTACTCTTATATACTTTCAGGTCTATCAAATATGATGTCAGATGGAGAATTTTTAAGAACAAGCTGTGGTTCCCCTAACTATGCTGCACCAGAAGTAATTTCAGGAAGGTAGTTTCTTTTCTATTGGATGCATGTGTGCACATACTTCAGTCATTTTGCTGCTTAATTCTAAAGGCTTCAAAACTAGCGCAATTCACAAGCTTGATGCTAAGAAACTATGGGCTGAACTCTTAATTGCCTTGATAATTTTTCTTAAACATTTAGGACTTCGATGAACTAACTTTGAATAGTTTCTGTAAGGTGGAGGTCATGTGTGATGTCCCAAATTCAGTGTATGCAGTGTGCCTGAATTGGTTTAAAAATCTCATTTACAGCTCAGATCTTGGAAGTAGAGGTACAGATAGAAATACAGGCAAAGTCTACTGTGAAGTTGAATAGCAGTGAAATATCTGCTGCAGAATAGATATTCAGTCTGAATGTATTCAGTGATTGTCAAATCTGCTGCTTTATGCTACCCACCCTAATATCTCCAAGACTTGGAGGCTAGATGACTACATAGATTGCACTCAAACAGTGATAGTATAACATGGGCTTTCTTGGCAGCAGGTGTAAGTTTCTTTCAGTTTGCCATTGTCTTGAATTGTATCTGTGGATTATTTTTATAAAATATAGAGAAAAACTAAGTACTTCTGCCCTAGCTTTTGTTACATATTTGAAGGGGAAGGACACTAGAGTTCAAAGCATAGCACTGAAATGGTATAGTAATTGCAGATTAGTTGTCCAAAGTTCACACACTCTTAATTAACATGATACAATGTAAGAATGTAGAAAAAAAACCTATTTAAATGTGTTAAGCACAAATTGCTAATAGTTACCTTTTTCCCAGATTATACGCAGGTCCAGAAGTAGATATTTGGAGCAGTGGGGTTATTCTCTATGCTTTGTTATGTGGAACACTTCCATTTGATGATGATCATGTGCCAACCCTTTTTAAGAAGATATGTGATGGTATCTTTTATACCCCTCAGTACCTGAATGCATCTGTATCTAGTCTTCTGAAACACATGCTGCAAGTAGATCCAATGAAGAGAGCAACAATCAGAAACATTAGGTAAAACATTAACTGATGTCTGATCACAGGATGCTGGAATGGTAATTTTAGTGAAAATATGCAGAACAAAGAAATCATTCATATAGCTTGTCCCTGTTTTCTAGTCTAAGATGAAAAATTCAACTTTTGGTTGTTTGGCTTTAGCTCTGGCTCTGATCTCCTGTGGCCAATGAAGTATCTATTGGAGGTCACAGTAAAACAAATATATATGTTACATATAAACATTCTGAGAAATTCTAGATTTAAGACTGCTAAAGCAAACCTGTTTACCTGCAGAATGGTTTGCAAAAACTGTACTCTATTGACTTCTCTGGACAAGGAAATTATTTTCGGTTAAGAACTGCTGTTTTGTATTGTGAATGTCTGAGGAGAAGTTATGACTCTTTAGCCTGATAACTATCACTTTTATTCATATTTCTGCAGACTCAGCAAAATAATCTGTTGAGACAGAATATTCCATGTATAAGATGGCATTCTATTCTAGCTTCAAAACCCAGTGAATGAGTGACAATTAGTACACAGAAAACTGATAAGTTTAAGCTTGTAGCTACAGATAGCCATCATGGACTCCAGATTTCAAGATAGGATTCTGGAGGGGGTGACCACTTTGACAAGTGCACAGTGAGTAGAATTAAAAAAAAGGTAGCTGATAAAGCTGTCCTTCATGCAGTAGCATAGTTAGGTTTTCCTGTTTTCTTTGTAAGAAGCTCTAAGGAGAGAGCTCTGAAATACTACCTTAGTGAAAATGCTTCCTCTTTTAGGGTTTGAAGTTAGCAAGTTAGCAATGTTCATGTTCTTTCAGTAAAACAAAAAATGTGTTACATATATCCCTTACTACTTTATTACAATGGGGAGTACGTTCATAGAATCATAGAATGTTAAGGGGTTGGAATGGACCTTAAAGATTATCTAGTACCAACTCCCCCTGCCATGTGCAGGGACATGTACTAGACCAGGTTGATCAAGGCCTTATCCAACCTGATTTTGAACACTGCCAGGGTTGGGGCATCCACAACCTCCCTGGGCAACCTGTGCCAGTGTCTCGCAACCCTCACAGTAAAGAATTTCTTCCTAATATCTAATCTAAATTTCCCCTCTTTCAATTTGTACCCGTTACTCCTTGTCCTGTCACTACAGTTCCTGATGAAGACTCCCTCTCTGGCTGCCCTGTAGGCCCCTTCAGATACTGGAAGGTTGCTATGAGGTCTCCATGCAACTTTCTCTTCTCCAGGCTGAACAGCCCCAACTCTCAGCCTGTCTTCATAGGGGAGATGCTCCAGTCCTCTTATCATCTTTGTGGTCTCCTATGGACTTGTTCCAACAGTTCCATGCCCTTCTTATATTGGGGGCACCAGAAGTTTACGCAGTGCTCCAGGTGGGGTCTCACGAGAGTCCTCTACAGGGCTGCTCTCAATCCCTTCTCCACCCAACCTGTAGGTGTGTCTGGGATTGCCACACCCCAGGTGTAGGACCTTGCACTTGGCTTTGTTGAACTTCATGAGGTTTGCATCAGCTCATCTCAAGCCTGTCAAGTTCCCTCTTGTCATGGGTTTGCTCTGGGCCAATTTCCTCTCACTCCCCACACAATTGCTATAAGTTGAGAGAAGGTTTATGCAGACAAAAGAGATCTGATTGGGGAGAATAATATTAAGATTTATTACTAGCAAGATAAAAACTAAAGAACTATATTTACTACAATTCTAATTAGGCAGAAATGCTATGTATTTACAAAAATACCCCTCCCCCCTTTGTATCAGCTCAGGAGGAGAAGCAGTCTCTTTTCCATTTCCGGAGCTACAGGTCTTTTAAATAATATTGCAGCACTCAAAAGTTCTTCTTCTATTATCTCTAGGACAACAACTCCGATTTGTTGCAGCTGGAACTCTTTCTCTCTCTCTTCTATGTCGACCTCAGGGCTGGGCCTACCCCCTCTTGGGCTAAGACCAGAGGCTGGGGGGTTGTCCAGGCCCTGTGGGGATCTTGCATGGACTGCAAGGAGACACTTGCTTACCATGGATTTTCACCACAGGATCACAAGGGATAATGGCTTTTGAGTCCACCCCTGTTTCCTGTGGGGTCTTGCCTCACGAGAGTCTTTGATGGACCTCTCTAGTGTGAGTCACCTTTCGGGCAACAGTTCTTCCATTCTCTGCTGTCCCTTAAGGTCACAAATTCATCTGCCCCAGCCTGGATCCCTCACTGAGATCCCAAGCCTACCCGGGCCATCTCGCTCCAGCGTAGGTCTCTCTCTCTCCATGGGCCACAGGTTTCCAGCAGGACTCTGTTTTATCTAGGCCTCCTACGGAGTCACATCTTCTTCATGCATTCCTCTGCTTCAGCGTGGGCTCCTTCATGAGCTGCAGAGGGTTGTCTCTGCTCCCCAACAGTTTGCCACAGGTGGCAGGGATTTTAGTTTTCAGTCTTTTCCCTGCTGAAGGGAGAGAGAGTGAGAGGGGGAGAGAAGGAGTTCCCCCCCTTCACGTCTTTTCTCTCCGGCTGCCAGCTTTGACCTTGAAGGCTTTGCTATCTCTGCCTGGAATTCCTTCTGCAGTATTTCTTGTCTAAGTTTTTCTCTAAAGTTTTTTTTTTTCTCTACTCTATTACAGGAGAAAAGGGGGGCCTGGCCCCCCTCGCCCATGCCAGACTTGGCCCAGAGTGGGGGGCGCATGCCCAGGCCCAGCAGGGCCGGCTGCTACGTTGGTTCTCCCATTTTTCTTCTGCCCCACCACCTTCTCTTCCATTTTCTTAAATATGTAATTAACAGAGATGTTACCCAAACTTTTGATTGGCTTTTTCTCCGGAAATCCACCTGGAAAAAACTATTTTCAGCCCCAGGGGGGCTAGTTGGCAAACCCATGACACCTCTGGATGGCCCATCCCTTCTCTCCAGCATGTTAACTGCACCTCACAGCTTGGTGTCATCAGTGAATTTGCTGAGGGTGTCCTTGATCCCACCGTCCATGTTGCTGACAAAGATGTTGAACAGTATCGGCCCCAGTACCAACCCCTGAGGGACACCACTTGTCGCTGGTCTCCACATGGACAATGAGCCATTGAGTACAACTCTTTGAGTGTGACCATCCAGCCAGTTCTTTATCCACCGAGTGGTTCATCCATCAAATCCATGTCTCTCCAATTTGGAGACAAGGATGTTGTGCAGGACAGTGTCCAATGCTTTGCATAAGTCCGGGTAGATGATGTCAGCTGCTCTGCCCCATCCACCAGTGCTTCAGCCCCAGCATAAAAGGTCAACAAATTTGTCAGGCATGATTTCCCCTTCGTAAAGCCATGTTGACTGTTACCAATCACCTCTTTGTTTTCCATGTGCCTTAGCATAGTTTTCAGGAGAATGTGCTCCACGATCTTGCCTGGCACAGAGGTGACACTGACTGGTCTGTAGTTCCCTGGGTCTTCCACTTTCCCCTTTTTAAAAATGGGGGTTATATTTCCCTCAGGAAACTCCTTGGGAACTTCACCTGACTACCACCATTTTTCAAAAACAATGGATAGTGGCTTAGCAACTTGGTCTGCCAGCTCCCTCAGGACCCGTGGATGGTTCTTATTGGGTCCCATGGACTTGTGCACATTCTGGTTCCTTAGATGGTCTTGAACCTGATCCTCTCCTACAGTAGGCTCAGGATCTTTATTCTTCCAGTCCCTGCATTTGCCTTTCCTGACTTGAGCAGTGTGGCTGGAGCACTTGCTGTTGAAGACTGAGGCATAGAAGTCATTGCAAAGACTGGCAGAAATCAAAGCACTGAGAAGTAAACATTGTAAAACTTAAGCTAAGTTCCTATCCACTCATCTAAGTAATGTTAAATAAGTCTGAAAGAGAAGTGATGTGAAAAAAGATGTTGAAAGTTGTTGACTACAGAGCATGGCTGGACTTTGAATCCTAAACAATTTTGTCCTGTTAGCTATGAGACATCATCTCAGTTTAAAGGACAAACTTTTAATTGAATACCTTAATTTTTCTAGGGGTGTGTGTATGCAAGGGAAGAGGTCCACTGCAACAAATAGTAACAAAATACTCAGTTATTCAGCTAGAGCTGTGCTTTATAGTTATATGGGAAAAGCCTTTTCTACTTCCAAATTAACTGCTTGCTTATGATGAAAGTACATTTTGCTCAATGCACTTGTGCTGAGGTGTGTTCTCAGGCTCATACTGACTAGAGTTTGATCAATATAACTGCTCTTAAATCTGTAGCAAGTCCTCCCCTGGTGGTCTAGTGGTTAAGGGTGCAGCGCTGTCACCGCCGAGGCCCGGGTTCAATTCCCAGTCAGGGACACTCCCGGGCAAATGGAGCTCGTTAGCCCTTAAAGGCAACCCATCTACGTCCTAAGGACCTCGCTGCCACCGTCCAAGCTCGCTTGGCCCCGGCAGATGAACCTTAGGATTAAAGGGTGGGCTCAGTTCCGCGCACACTGTGTCTCACCTAAAAAATCCAATGCGCAGGCTGGAAGGTGTAAAGACCTTCCCCGGATCTTCGCTCGCGAAGACTGGCCATTATTTATTATAGAGCAGGATACTTTTAAAATTAGCATCATGCCATATCCTTTGACTAGTTAAGCAGCTTACTCTAGGCACACAAAACTACTTTATTTTTTTTCTGTATGATTGGGCAACCTAAGTATTTGGTCCCTTCTGTATATTTCCTTTTCCCTCTTAGCCCATGGATACACTAGTAAAGAGGTACAGATTGACTCTTCCATAGCCTTCCCTCTACTCTTTAAGACTTGAAGAGAGAGCAGGGGGGTTTCTGAATGAAAAAATTATAGGCAGATTGTTGGGGGTAGAGACTGTGTGACTTCAATGTTAAAGCATTACCAAAGAAACTATTCAGTATCAAGATTTCTTTAATTTGTTATGTATGTACTTGGGGAGGGACAGCTTGATTAGATAGCATACAGATTTCAGTTGAAAATATATCAAGACTAAAATAAGCAAAGTAGTAAAAAGAAAAACAAACCACAAACCCAATGCCAAAGAACAACTATTTATATAAAAAGGTAGTTGACTTATACAAAGATATTATTGGAAATCAGGTAGTTGAAACCCTTAGAGGAAAGAGGCATTTTTTAGTCTCCTGCAAAATGACTAGCAAAATCTTGTAAAGGAGATAATTACTTTTCATTATGTACCGTTGTGCTGCACAGAAGGGGACTTGGACTGACAACCGTTGATCTTTTTTGTATAGATGAAGAATAATTTTATTTTTTTAAATATTCAATACTGAAAAGGCTTGCTGTACTTATATATACTCAGACTTTATTTTTAAATCTAGAGAACATGAATGGTTTAAGCAGGACCTTCCCAAATACCTGTTTCCTGAAGACCCGTCATATAGTTCTACCATGATTGATGATGAAGCCTTAAAAGAAGTTTGTGAGAAGTTTGAATGCACTGAAGAGGAAGTGCTAAGTTGTCTATACAGCCAAAATCATCAGGACCCTTTAGTGGTTGCTTATCACCTCATTATAGATAATAGAAGAATAATGAACGAGGCCAAAGACTTCTACTTGGCTACAAGCCCACTGGATTCTTTTCTTGATGATCACAATCTGTCTCGACCTCATCCTGAAAGAGTGCCATTCTTAGTAGCTGAAGCACCACGTCCCCGCCATACTCTTGATGAGCTGAATCCACAGAAGTCAAAACACCAAGGTGTAAGAAAAGCAAAGTGGCACTTGGGAATACGGAGTCAGAGTCGACCAAATGATATCATGGCTGAAGTTTGTCGAGCAATTAAACAACTGGATTATGAATGGAAGGTAAAAAATAAAGGTTCTTTACAGCAGACATCAGTAAATTTTTGTTTGAGCTGTGTAATTACATAACCTAGAAGTCTGAAACTGTTCTCCTGTGATGTGGAAGATAGTCTCATGTGCCTGTACTGACGGCTTATGTTTGGCTGTGCAGGAAGGGTTTTGGGGGAGGCTATTTATGCTGACAGGAAAAATCTTGCTAATGTGTTTAACCTTTCTACTGGGGCTCTGGGAATGTGTTGGGTGGGGTGTTTTGTTTGGGGTTTTTTGGTGTGTTTTTGTTGTTAAAAAAAAAAACACCTCTGATAAGTAAGCCTGAAATCACTTGATAATATCAGTGAGTTGAAATAAGAAAAACAATGTGCAGTGCTTCTTAAGCAGTTCTAGTTACTAAGTCAAATCTCTCATGTACTAGGTTGTAAATCCATACTATTTGCGTGTTCGAAGGAAGAATCCAGTGACAAATGCATATTCCAAAATGAGTCTACAATTGTATCAGGTGGACAGCAGGACATACTTACTGGACTTCCGTAGCATTGATGGTATGTAAAGACTTACATAAGTCAATGGACTTGTAAGGGGAATAATTTTAAATTAATTAATTAATTTAAGCCAAACTAGATCTGCATTAATGTTTCTTTATTCCTTCCTGGTCTAGTGTTCCTATGATCAGATGGTTAGCTGTTTCATTCTTTAAATAATCACTTTTTAGCTACATCAACTCCAGAACTGCTCCATTTTGCATCTGCACCAGCACTAATACTGCTGGTGCAAAAGGGGAAGGATTGTGGGAGGTAAGTTTTGGATCAACCTAAACTGGTTTTGCAACCTCACCCCCAAATTTAAATGTTAATTTATATCTGAAGTATGGGAACATGTTTTCCTAGTGAAGATAAAGCTTGGCATTTAGGCATGCAAATTTGACTTGAGCTGTATGTTGCTGTACTGGGTCTGGCTGAGATGGAGCTAATTTTCTCCATAGCAGCTGGTATGGTGCTGTTTATTTTATCTGTGACTGTGTTTTTGATCTGTGACTAAAACAGTGTTCTGGCTATTGCTGACCAGTACTTGCATAGTATCTAGTCTTTCTGTTTTCTCACTGTGGTGCACCCAATAAGTAGGCTGGGGGTGAACAAGAAGTTGTGAGGGCACATAACCTGAACAGCTGACCCAGCTTGATCAAAGTGATATTCCATGTTATATGATGTCACGCTTAGCAAAAAATCTGAGTGGATGGGAGTTTGGGGAAGGTCACTATTGCTCAAGAGACTGGCTGTGCATTATTAGTCTGCTTGTAGGAGGTGGCAAGTAATTGCCTTTGCATCACTTTTTTTTTTTTTTTCTTGCTTCATCTTATTAAACTGTGTTTATCTTGATCTATGAGTTTTCTTGCTTTTGTCCTTCCAATTTTCTTCCTCCATTGCACTAAGGTAGGGTGGAGTGAATGAAGGGCTGGCTGTGTAATAGAAGGGTTAACTTTGTTCATAAAATCTTATGTGTATGAGGGAGTCAGAAACTTTTTGTTGTAATTAAACAAGATAAGTTTCACAGACAGCTTGCCAATCAAGCAAGTGTCAATAAACAACTGATAAGAACTGCACCTTTCATCTCTAATAAGTACCAGACGACCACTTAACAGCCAGGAACTCAAACCGTAAACAAATTTACATCCAAAAACCCGGGACTTGAGAATATATAAAAGGAGCATTTACTACATTTCAGTGTGTGCCTCGGCAGGGCGCTTGCCCTCCAGGCCACCCAGCGCTGTTTTGCTTTATTATCGCTTACTTAATAAATTTATCAATGTTTAATTGGAATTGAGTTGTCTAAATTCTTATACTAACTTATAACAGGCTGGGGGTTTAGCTGCCAGCCAGGTCCAACCCATCAATGCTAGTAGTAAACAAAATTTGAGATGGGAATTGCATGCTTGCAGTAAGTGAAGTCTTGAAAGCAGTTGGACAGATCTGTAGAAAAAACTTTTATAGAGTGACAGTAACACAGCATACACTTCTGTTGTGGTTTAAGCCCAGCTGGTAATTAAGCCCCACACAGCCACTCCTTCACTTTCCCCAGGTAGAATGGGAGAGAGAATCAGAAGGGTAAAAGTGAGAAAACTCATGGGTTGAGAGAAAGACAGTTTAATAGTGAAAGCAAAAGCCACATGTGCAAGCAAAGCAAAACAAGGAATTTGGTCACTACTTCCCATGGGCAGGGTGGTGTACAGCCATTTCCATCATTCATAAGAGTTACTTGGGAAGACAAATGCCATCAACTCCAAACATCCCCCACTTTTTTCTTCTTCCCCCAGCTTTATATGCTGAGCATGACACCATATGATCTGGAATATCCCTTTGGTCAGTTGGAGTCAGCTGTCCCAGCTGTGTCCCCTTCCAACTCCTTGTGCATCCCCAGCCTCCTCGCTGGTGGGGCTATGTGAGAAGCAGAAAAGGCTTTGATGCTGTGCAAACCCTGCTCAGCAATAATAAAAACATCCCTGTGTTATCAGCACTGTTTCCAGCACAAATCCAAACCATAACCCCATGCTAGCTACTAAGAAGAAAATTAACTCTATCCCAGCTAAATCTGCAAGTCGGGTATCTTCCTGAAAATGGAGGAGCAAATATAGACTGGCCATAATGCTTGTTTAAGAGCATAGTAGACTAAAACAAATTATTTATAGCCAATGGTGTACATGATATGCCTAGGAAAGCATGTGGCATGGGAAAAGGATTCACTGGAATATGGCTGGATCATAGTATAGGATGGCTAAGGCTGAGTTTCGTGACAGTTTAACCTGATCTGACTTGGCACTGCAATTCTTGCCTTGTCCGTTCTGACAATACAAGTGCTTGTTTAGATCTAGTAGTATTTGATACAGGGGATTAATCACTTTCCTGCACTGACCTCTACTGTAGTATAAGATGAATGCCATTCCTGTTGGAGGGGAGATGACTGCTTAAGAGCCATGCAGCTGGGGCAGCTGTCGCGGTCGAGGCGGGGAGGCGACATGGGTTTCAGGATACCAGCAGCTTTTTTTATTGCAACAGTACAGCTACCTTTATACAGTTCTGGGGTAACACATGTACACACAGCATTGGTTTACCATATCATAACAACTCATGATTGGACATACAGCCACATGTCCAAACACCATAGGTTGACATTCCTCACAGGAAACCCACTGTGTCACAGTCCCCACTGTCCGTGGTTAACCCTCTGCCAGGTGTAAGAAGTTCCATCTTCAGTATCTCAGTTTACTGAGAGCCCAGAACCAGCTGGGCTCCCCAACAATTCCCCCTCTTTTGTATTATAGAAAATTGCCAGCATCAGCTAATACAGGGCCCTTGCACTAGTGACATGGCAATATCAATAATACAATACAATTACACACATAGGCAAAGAATCAACCAGTCCTTCTTTCATCAGTCCACAAGAATGGTACTCCTTCTTCTCAGTGCTGAATGTCCATAAATGAGTTGTCCATGTAGCTTGTGCATGTGCCACAGGTAGGTAGAAAGCAGACTGTTGGAGGATAAGAATATTGCTCCTCAAAAGCCAGCTGAACAAACAAGTATCCTCCCCCCCCCTTTTTTTTTTTTTTTTTTTACCATTTTTTTTTTTCTCTTTTTCTCTTTTTTTTTTTATTTTTCTACTTTTTTTTTTTAATTTTTTTTTTTTTTTTTTTTGACTTCTTAAAGTCTTTCAGTGCTTCAAAAAGCAGGTGTCAGGAAGTTAATAATTCCATGACTCCCCTGAAAGCAACTTTAGAAGTCCTGGTACCCGTGATCTCTGCTCCAAATTAGCATTTTTGCAGGAGCAGGGCATCTAGCTTGATTCCATGTCTCTCTTTAGCAGTAACTGCCACTCGGGACGACAGAGTCATCCTCTTTAGATAACATGGAACCTATTATACTCCGGTGGTTCACCTGTTCTAGACAGGTGTCTCCAAAAGATCTGGGCCGGCCCCCTGCGACTTTTTTGTCGCTTTTAAAACTACACCGGAGTTCCCGCCTCCAACAGCTCTCTCGGAGCTGTCTCTCTCCGTCCTTGTTCAGGACGTGAAAACCTTTTAGATTGCTTCAGGAGGTACTAATGTAAGTTACAAGCAGGGTAATAATACAGCGAAGACGAACAGTAGCTGGAATGTTGCTTTAGCAGCCGACTGCTGATAAAAGGCAGTTGCCGGGATACCGAGATTTCGCAAGAGTCCGAGCCAAGCGGGGGAGTGCGGCAAACAGGAATTTGTCTGCCCCACAGCTGCGAGAGTAACGAAGGCAGGGTCGCTCGGAACAAACGGCACTGCTGAGTCAGGGCACGTTCGGGGTGCGGTCTCAGCTGTTCCACGCACAGTCAGGGATGTCCGGTGATAGCGGAGGGACGCGAACCGGGCACGGAGCGGGCTGAGGCCCTGCACGGAGCTGGGATGTCAGGAGCGAGGGCTACGCAGGTTGCGCACGCAGCCACGCAGTGTCAATAGGGCTGCAGCTGGAACGCGGAGCGAGATAACGAGCGCTCCGGGGGGGAGAGCGGGGCGAGATTACGAACGCTCCGAGGTAGAACGGGGCAGCGCGGCAGGAGGGTTGATAACGGACCGCTCAGTAACTTACGTAGCCGTGACAAAGTCTCAGCAGCAGCGAGAAAGTTCTCAGCAGCAGCAAAAGGCAGCTCAGCGGCATACGATCTCTCGGGCTGAGAAGCGGTGAAAGCGGAACGGGGGGGTCAGCGGCCGTCTGATCCCTCCGGGTAGCAGCTTCTCGAGATCCCGCCCGAGCGATTCTTCGTTCGCTTCTTGTCGTCGAGTTCTCTTCTATCTTCCTTCGCAATCACGTCGGGGGTTCACCATATGTCGCGGTCGAGGCGGGGAGGCGACATGGGTTTCAGGATACCAGCAGCTTTTTTTATTGCAACAGTACAGCTACCTTTATACAGTTCTGGGGTAACACATGTACACACAGCATTGGTTTACCATATCATAACAACTCATGATTGGACATACAGCCACATGTCCAAACACCATAGGTTGACATTCCTCACAGGAAACCCACTGTGTCACAGTCCCCACTGTCCGTGGTTAACCCTCTGCCAGGTGTAAGAAGTTCCATCTTCAGTATCTCAGTTTACTGAGAGCCCAGAACCAGCTGGGCTCCCCAACAGGCAGCTGCAGTCCTGGCCTCAACTCTTGAGGAAATACAACCCAAGGGCATGAATTTGGCATCTCTCTTCCAATAGTGAAGCTGATCTGACTTTCCCTCCATCACAGCTAACTGTTCTCTATTCCTCTTACAAACTGTAGTTTAAAGTAGCTTTGATGTGAAAACTCCTATGTTCACTAACTTCCCCTGGAAATAACTTAATGAAAAATATGGTGAGTGCTGGTCTAAACTAGATCAAATAGTCCTGGAGCACAGTTCAGAGCACAAGAATAATTTGCATAAGGACATTTGATTCTGTGTTGCTATATGTATAAGCTTTTATTTTGTATCAACTATATACAGTTGCAAAAGCTGTTTATGTATTAATCAAGATTTTAAAAAATAATGTTAGAAGTGTGAAAAGGGGAAGAAGTTTGCTCTTCCTATGACTTATTTGGTACTGATGACTAATTTCCCTCCTCCATTTGCTCCCCAGATGAAATTACTGAAGCAAAATCTGGGACTGCAACTCCACAGAGATCAGGTTCTGTGAGCAACTGTAGATCCTGTCAAAAAGATTCAGATGCTGATGCACAAGGAAAATCTGCAGATATATCCCTTACACCATCAGTGATCTCTTCACTTGATTCTTCTAAAGCTGACTTAACTCCAAGACCAGGGAGTCATACAATAGAGTTCTTTGAGATGTGTGCAAATCTTATTAAAATACTTGCACAATAATTTTGAAAATGGGCTTATTTCTTTGATAGCAATAAGTATGCCTAAATCACAGTCAGATGCTTCCAGTTATAATCAAGTTAAATTAACTAAGGTGCTGAAAAAACTAGCCACAGAATGCAATTTGCAGAGGGATTGGAATGATTATGGGCAGTTATGTATATTATTTTGAAGCTGAATTCTGATTTTCTGCTGTCCAATAGCATAATACAGGTACAGGAAGTCACATGCTCTTTGGGCAGTGTTCATAACACATTAGAATTCATATAATATTTAAGTTATACTGGCCTTCTTGGTTTTTTCACTGGTAATACATACATCTAATGCACTGTAAGTAAATGTATACTTACTAGTTCAATGACTTAAGTATGACTTGTTGATCATCATCTATAGTTGTGCCTCAGTTGATCAGAATTGTCAGCATCTAACAGTAATGTGTTAAAACTGCTGTTTCCTCTCCCTTATTTGGCAGTTAATGATATAGGATAGTTTTAATGCATTTGTCCTGGTTTTAGTTAGTGTAGAGTTAATTTCTTCTCAGTAGGTGTTAGAGTGCTGTGTTTTAGTTTCAGAATGAGAATGGTGTTGATAACATACTGATGATTTGGTTTCTGCTAAGTCATGTTTATCTTAAGTCAAGGACTCTTTTTTCCCTTGTCTCATGCCCTGCCAGTGGGAGGGAGCATAGCTGGGACAGGTGACCCGAACTGACGAAAGGGATATCCCACACCATAGAATGTCATGGCTTGTATATAAACTTGGGGGAGTTAACTGGAAGGGGCTGATCTGGGTTCAGGAAGAGGGGTTTGGTGTCGGTCAGTGGGTGGTGAGCAATTGCATTGTGCATCACTTTGTTTCCTTTTTATTATAATTATTGTTATTTAGCATAATTTTTGTATTTTACTTTATTTTCAATTATTAAACTGTTCTTATCTCAACATTCTACCAGGGTGGGAGGGACAGAGGGGGGGGTTGAGTGAGGGGCTGCATGGTGTTTAATTTCCATCTGAGCTTAAACCATGACAACATTATAATTTACTGCATTTAATAATGGATAAATGTTATTCAATCCATGCAAATCCAACCAGGTGGAAATACATGTAGGTGGTTTGTAATGCACTAAGAGTTAAATTCTGTGGGCTGTAAGTAGAACAATTTGGGCCACAACAGTGGTGAGAGACAATGCTGGGAAGACTTGGCACTCTGTGGGCTGAAACAAAATGTGCCTCTGTGAAGGAGAACTGTCACCAGATTCCTTATCTGCAGATTTACTAACTCATATCTTAGTATGGTAGCAGCACAGCAGCTCCCCACTGCTACTGCAGGCTGAGAATCCTGTTCCTTATAAACACGTGCATGTAGTTAAGAACACAGCTCTAAGGCCTCTTTCATGCTATTCCAGAACCTAAAATTTTCACTGTTATAAATATGTTCATACTTTGATACAACTGTTTATATCATATGCTAACAGCGTATATTATATAGAATCCCCTTTGCAGTTGAAAATACATATATAGGTTTAGGTTTTCCCAAGACACCTTTATAGTGAACTGTGCCATTAAAATTGTGGCATTAATAGTCCAACTTTTCAACTAAACATTTAAAACTGATCATGACAACTTACCACAGAATGGTTTGGGTTGGAAGGGACCTTAAAGATCATCTAGTTCCAACCCCCTGCCATGGGCAGGGACGCCTACCACTAGACCAGTTTACTTGGAGTCACATCCAACCTGGCCTTGAACACTTCCAGGGATGGGGCATCTACAACCTCTGTGGGCAACTTGTGCCAGTGCCTCACCACTCTTATAGTGAAATTCTTCCTGATATCTAATCTAAACCTGTCCTCCTTGAGCTTAAGGCCATTTCCCCTTGTCCTATCACTACATGGTCTTGTTAAAAGTCCTTTTCCAGCACTCTGGTCCCCCTTTAGGTACTGGAATGTGCTATAAGGTCTCCCCAGAGCCTTCCCTTCTTTAGGCTGAACAGCCCCAACTCTCTCAGCCTGTCTTCATAGGATAAGTGCTCCAGCCCTGTGAACAACTTAGTGACCTCCTCTGGACTTGCTCCAACAGTACAGCTGGACACAGTACTCCATGTGGGGTCTCACAAGAGGAGAGTAGAGGGGGAGAATCACCTCCCTTGACTGGCTGGTCACACTTTTTTGATGCAGCCCAGGACATGGTTGGCTTTCTGGGCTGCAAGTGTGCATGACCGGGGCATGTTTGGTCGGTATTGGGACCAGTGTTATTTATTATCTTCATTAATGTCATAGACGAAAGGATCGAGTGCACCCTCAGCAAGTTTACAGATGACACCAAGCTGAGTGGTGCGGTTGACACTCCTGAAGGATGGAGCCATCCAGAGAGACCAGGCCAAGCTTGAGAAGTTGGTCCATGGGGATCTCATGAGTTTTATCAAGACTTAAATGCAAGGTGCTGTACCTGGGTTGGGGCAACCCCCAGTATCAATCCAGGCTGGGGGATGAACAGATCAAGAGCAGCCCTGCTGAGAAGGACTTGGGGGTGCTGGTAGATGAGAGGCTGGACATGAGCTGGCAATGTGTGTTTTCAACCCAGAAACCAACTGTTTCCTGGGCTGCATCAAAGTAGGAGTGGCCACCAGGCTGAGGGAGGTGATTCTGCCCCTCTACTCCCTTTTGGTGAGACCCCACCTTCAGTGCTGCATCCAGCTCTAGGGTCCCCAGCACAGGAAGGACTTGGACCTGTTGGAGCAAGTTCAGAGGAAGGCCACAAAGATGATCAGAGGGATGGAACACCTCTCCTATGAGGAAAGGCTGAGAGAATTCAGTTTGTTCAACCTGGAAAAGAGAAGGCTTTGGGGTGACCTAATTGTGGCCTTCCAGTACCTGAAGGGAGCCAACAAGAAAGATGGAGAGGGACTCTTTACAAGAGCCTGGAGTGACAGGACAAGGGGCAACAGATTCAAACTGAAAGAGAGTATATTTAGATTAGATATTTGAAAAAAATCTTTGCTGTGAGGGTGGCGAGACACTGGCACAGGTTGCCCAGAGAGGTTGTGGATGCCCCATCCCTGGAAGTGTTCAAGACCAGGTTGGATGGAGCTCTAAGCAACCTGGTTTAGTGGAAGGTGTCCCTGCCCATGGCAGGGGGTTGGAACTAAATGATCTTTAAGGTCCCTTCCAACCCAAACCATTCTATGATTCTGTGATTCTATGATTCTATGATAATTACAGTGCATTAGCTGTTTTGCATTATTTGCCTAGGCACTGTATACATGCAAATAAATTCAATCTTAATAACAGAAAAGTAAGATTACCACACATTTACAGGAGATGAAGAAATTACCAGACTAGCTAAAGCATTACTTACTGGCCATTCTGTGATTTTGTACTGAGCTTCTCATCCACAAACATCCCCAGTCCTCCCCAGGGCTAATTCTCAATCCATTCTATGCCCAGCCTTTATTTGTGCTACGTATTCAAAAAGTTTTTAACAGTGGATTTCTTTTACCAGTGTCATAAATCATACTGAAGTTATGGTTTTTGCAATGTTTTGGGAAGAAAATTGAACCTCAAATGTTAAAATTGTAGCTAGCACTTCTGTAAAAACATTTAATCTTTTGTAAACTAGATTTAATTATCCACAGTTCCATTTTCATCTAGCACTAATAGATGTAAACATTGCACAATAAGCTATGTCATAAAACATTTAGTTTTACATTCGACCATGATTATTCTCTTCAAAATTTCTTCATTATCTACTTTGTTTTGAAGATTGCTCTCCTGGTTAGAGACTGGAAATCAAGACATTACTATGAACAGTGAAACTTTGACCCTGAAAATGAATGGGAGTTAATGTCTAGCTGAAAAATGCTAGCTACAGCTATAAGAATAGTGTAATCCAGGCCAACTGATTCCAGTTATGAATATGCACAGCACAGAATTTGATGAAACTTGAAACTGCTTAAGCCCTGGAGCTCCTGTAAACTGTTCTGAACTGGGAAATGTTGTGGTCTGCCCAGTATGTAGGTACAAGTTACAACTTCAGATCTTTATCCTCACACTGTCCCTGTAATGCACAGATGTATTACTGTATTTCAAAGTGGAAGATTTCTGTTAAAGACAACTTTGGTTTTAAACTCCTGAGACTGAGATGTCAACATGAGACCAACTGCAAATCCTACTTAAGTGGAGGTTTGTGTTTTGTGGGGTTTTTTTAAGCCTTGTAAGAAATTATTCTGATGTACTAAATAAATTTTTGTTACCATTTTATTTTGAAGTTGTTAAATATTGCACTTGTACAATATAACAAATGCACAGGTTTTTTGGTTTTTTTTGTTTGTTTGGTTGGTTGGTTTTTTTAAGTAATTCCTCATCTGGAACTGGTTTGGAATCACTGAGTTTCCTGTGTATGTTAAACTAAATATTTGTAAATGGTATCTATCTTGGTTTGCAAATTTGTAATGCTGACCACAAGTGTAAGGTGTCAAGGTGCAAAAGGCTTTAATTTTTATATACTTTTTTGGCACTCTTATGCATTAAGGCAACCATGGTTATTATTTTGTCTTGGTATCTGGAAGTTGAAGTGAGTTTCTGGCAGAAGTGTACTGTATGCATAGCTTTATTTAAAGTAAATTTTATTGATATGATAAATCAGTTTTGATGGACAAAAGTTTCCTGCTGGAACAGAGTTGAGGTGGGGTTTTTTTGTTTTGTTTGTTTGGTGGGGGGTGGGGGGGTAGGGGGGGTTATACAGTGTGGGGGAGGGAGAAAGAGGGACTGACAAGCTATTTGAATCCACAATAGTTGTCTGTTGTGTAACTTTCTTATGCTTTGTAAATCTTACTGTTGAAACTGCTTTCTTCAGATGTTCCTACTGATCTTGCAGACCATGTTTTAGTATCAGACTAGTATCTGCCAATAGGTTGTGAAACAAAACTTCACTGAGAAATGGGCCAGGATTCTAAGGAGGCAATTTATGCAAATATACCAGTTGATCTATATTCCCAAGCTTTCTTCCACTGTAGCATGTTGAATTATCTTGTATTGTAAATTTTTTAAAAATGTGGACAAACATGATTGACCCATGTGAATTATAACTCACTAGGTAATGGATAAAAGTTTCATCCTGATGGTTCAATACTTTTAAAAAAAATTCATGGTTGTTTTGATATGAGTGTTTAATAAAAACTTGGAAATAAACTATATTTTGCCAGTTGATTACTATTATAAGATGTAAAGTCCTGTTTGTTAACAAAATTGTGCCTACTACCTGTGTTGTGGGTTGGTTTGTTTGAGTCTTTTTTTCTTTCAAAGCTGAATGGCTCAAATACTTGCTTATAACATAAGCCCACCTGGCTCCTTGTTTCCTGCCACCTCCCTGTTGATTGTGTTGTGCCTTGTTCCCAGCTGGGGTGACCTCCGTGCTGGAGGCATCTGTCCCAGGGATGCTTTGCTTGCTGTGGAACTGCTGTGGGAGAAACATTCCCCCATAGGCAGCCAGTCAGCATTTAGGGCTGTGCAGCAGGAGATCTGTGTGACCATTCCAGCTCATAGTGGTTTTGTTGTCCTAAAAGTAGGGTTCTTTCACCTGGCATGCAAGAAGGCGATCCGCACACAGAGTCGAGTTTTTTGTTTTATTACATGTCTGCACAGAGATGGGTGCTGGGTAGTGAATCCACAAAGCTGGCACACCCTCAGTATGCCAGCTATCCGTATTTATACACTTCAAACAGTGAAAAATTGACATTTCCCATATAGGAAACAATCTAAAGCCATTGGCTATACATTCCTTCATCTCTGTTTAAAGATCCAGTACACAGGTATTTTACAATGCTTGCTGTATGGGGAAGGGGCTTGTGTAAGGGACTATTGCAGCTAATGGGCAGGTATTTTAATAGATTCATTTTAATTTGTTAATGACTAAAGGTTAACACAAAGTTCAAGCAAAATTCTTTTGCTTTATCAGCAGCTGTGTTATCTCCTCGTTGATTTAATTTATGGTGTGATCCTGCTCTTGCTTGCTTCTCAGGTCATGGCTCCTAGTTTCAGCTTGCTATCTACAGAGTTATGTATGCAATAAAGTCCTCCTTTGAGACTTTTTAAAAAATGCTTATTTTTCTTCAAGTCTCACTTTCGTGCCATTTCTTTAGCATAGTTCATTTTGTTGCTTCCCTTTCTTGCTATTCAACATCTGCTAAAAAGTTTTGCTTCATTCTTATGAGATATTTGGCTAATTGTCATTCCCAAAAATCCTGCCTAACCTTTATATATTTTACTCCCCGTTCTTTCCTTTTTAAATCTGGGGTCATCATCATTATTTCTTGTTCTTTGTTTCCCATGGTCATGTTAGTAAAACAAAAAGAACAACATTGACTTAGACATAGACAAATGTCAGTATCACTATAACGATTAGTCCTATTCTCCTAAACCAACTCCCCAAGTCTGGTAACCAAGATGTAAGCCACTTCCATACTTCAGCAAAACCTAAGGATGGATCATCACTTTGTAATTCATGTAATATTTTTACTTTCCTTATAAGATTTTTTGTTATCATTTCTAGGCTTAAGCAAACAAGTATTTTTATAGATTACCACTATAACTATAGGTAACAATATCACTAATACACAAAAACAATAACAATAGTCCTTGACGACAGTCTAATTCGAGGTTTTTAATTCAAGGGGATTCAGATTCCCAGGTGCAATTCATTATATAAGGTTCTTGTGTAGTTTAATTTTTAATGGTCCCAATGCTGTCAATGTCCACTGGTGATCCAGAAGAGCTATCATCAAACTTGAATAGTGAATCCAAGAGTTAATTCCTTCTACCTTTACTGCTGTGTAGTGTTGCCTAAAAGACCGAGGAGGGAAAAAGACTTCAGGCCAAATTAGGTAAGAGATAAGATTAAGCAAGCAGAAGTTTTAATAAGCCTCCAGGCTCTAGGAATACAAACCCACGCGTGTGCGTTTCGACTCAGGTGTTACAATTTTATAATGATTTCCGTCAAATCCCCTTTCGTCCACCCTCCAGTTCTGCCCATTTCTGCCCTGTTCTGCCTTGTTCTGCCCCCAGACACACCCTTTGGGAATTGAGTCTGGGGGAGTTTGGGATCCCTTCTTCCTCATCATCTTCTTTGCAGCACATGCAGTCCTTGGAGCCCTTCCAAAGCTCTGGGCTTGAAGGTTGTTGTGTCTATGTCTATATCTTCTGGTGCAGATTTTAAGGTGATTTTCTTCAATTCTACCTTGAAAAGGAGACTAAACACACTAATGGAATTTAGGGGGATTGATATGGAATGGAGTAGCAGGGTAGGGTACATGTAAACATTATGCTACAGGGTAAGGGATGTAATACAGCTACGTTAAAATCTACATTCACAGTACAACTACTTCTAAAATCTTAAAAAAAAAAAAAAAAAAATCAAAAACTCTAAGGCATCAGTAGGTTGTTAAAAGTACCAAATGGGGTCCTTTCCACTTTTCCATTAATAGCTCAACCTTCCAAGTTTGAATGTAGACCAAGTCTCCAGGTTCAAAATAATGTACCGGAGAGTCCAGAGGAAGTGGAACCTGCTGGTTGAGATACCTGTGCAAGGAAGATAATACCTGAGAAAGAGACAGCAAATGATTTCTTGTGATTCCCTCCCCTTCTAAGTGCATTTGGTCCATTTGATTTCCTGACAGGATATGGTTTTCCCCTCTGAAGGGACTTCTTCCCTCTCTAACCTGTAGAGTTATCTTATTTCTCATCATAGGTAAAACCTCCTGTGTTTCCTGACGTAATTTTGTGATTTGCCTCATGAGAGTCTGTAGGTATAAAACCTACAACCATGACATATGTGGGAGACAACGTGGAATACATGCAATGGAAACATCAATCATAGAGGAGAAACAGATGCAACCCAAGAGAACTCCTGGAGTCAGCACGGAGAAACATCATGTTACGAAATCATTGTTCCGCGTTACCCTATGTTATGTAACCTCTCTCCCCCCCACCATCTCCATGCTGCCGGTTGGTTGGAATGCAGTTCCTGTTCTGCCCCCAGAGCTGGGTCACGCCCCTATCCTAACCCCATTGGCTGTTTCCCCTGCCTTTCCCCGGTTCCTG